CAGTCTGGAACCCACATTACGTATCTGATATTAGCACAGTTGAGAAAGTCCAGAAATATTTCACAAGAAGAGTTCTCCCACTCTTCTACTCATTGCAGAATACCTTATGCCACCAGACTTGAAATTCTAGACCTAGAAAACCTAGAACTATGCCGCCTTCGGTCTGATCTAAGTATAGTATATAAAATCATACATTGCAATGTCCTACCTGTCAGCTTCAACCATAACAACACAAGAGCAAACAATAGATATAAACTGAAGGTTAATCGCACCAAACTTGATTGCAGGAAATACGACTTCAGCAACAGAGTGGTCAATGTCTGGAATACTCTACCTGACTCTGTGGGTTTTCCCCTGTCCCTGTCCTATTGTTTCTTTTATTTTTCTTATATGTATCCATACCTATTATCTTGTAAGCAATTGACAAACCAAATAAAATAAAATAAATAAATAAAATAAGTCTTCTAGTCCTCTCCTTGGGAGTTTCTTTTCTACACTGGTGTTTCATTTTTGTAGCCTCTGACTTAGCCAATCGCTGGACATTTCCTTGGAGGCATCTTGGGCCTGTCTCTGTTACCTCAACCACTATGGTGAGAATTACAGACCTAATTGCTCTGGCCAACAGCCTTGGGAAAATTCTACAGGGAACAGCCTTTGAGGTGATTATCTGCATTAGCAGACACTTTCCCCGACAACTTGCCCTCTTTGCTTGAAGCTGAGGGCCCCTTATCAGAGGAGCCCACTTGTTTTTGTAAGAATCAATCCCCCTTACCAGAGGGAGCCACCTTGTGGAGTACTGTGAAGCCATTACCATGGCAACTCCACTGTGCTGTACAGTAGAAGCCATTTTAAGGCACACATACACCCCGAGGGGGGCTGTGGTGTTTCATCCCCATCGTATTTGTTTCCAGAGGGTAAGTCATCTGTGTATCACATTTGCTTGAGGTGTTCCAGAGTTATGCTGGACACACACACACACACACACACACACACACACACACACACACAATGTATGTATGTATATTTGTGTGTGTGTGTGTGTGTGTGTGTAAACATCTAGAAGAAAACAACCAACCTCAGAGATTACCCAGGATGCCATGGTTCAACCCTGAAAAGATAGGTTTTCAGTGCTTTTTGGAAGATGGGTTGTCTGCTGAATTTCAGCCTTGCATAGGGTAGGGGCTACCAAACAAAAGGCATGCTTCTTTCACTCCCATCAGTAGACAATATTTAAGGGAAGGAGCTAGGAGTGTGCCCACATATCTGATCTATTAGGATGAAGTCCTCTTGTTAAGGAGAGGTAGTCCCAAAGATAAGCTAGCCCTGGGTCACATAGAGCTGGATGATGGGTGCACCTTGAATTGCATCCACAAGGGAAATGGAAACCAGCACAGCATTGGCAACAGAAATGTTACATAGATAATGCTAGGGGCATCCATCACTGTGCAGGCAGCTACATTCTGGACCAATAGTATAACAGACTTGCGAAGCTGGCGCGTTGTGCAACAAGTCACATAATGTAATAAGATTGGGACAGAATTAGGGACTCTGTCATCACTGTGAGTTGTGTTGTGGGGGTGCATGAAGGGAGGCTCAGCCAATCCCATTGTACACATGTTGTACTCTGACAATAAAGGTAATAATAAACAGTTAAAGATGCCAGGTAATCTTCAAGGGCAGCCCCATGTATAGCAAGGAACATGGAAGGGGGAAAGCCATCATAGCACAATGTCCCCCATTTCAACCCCTGAAGACAGACCAAAATGATAACTATTGTTGATGGTATCAAAAGATGCTGAATGATCCAGAAGGTCAACCATGATTGCACTACTCAATCCCAAGTCTCCAGAAGTCATTGACAAGTGTGTCCAATGTGATTTGTTTATTGGAATTTGTTAAATGAAAACGAGAACAAGAATAAGAGAATAAAAATACAGGGACAATAGGCCTGTTAGTGCACTTATGCACGCCCCTCTATTAGCCACTTAAATTCGAAGTAAGGTCCACAGAAGTCAATTTGTGACTGTAACTGTGAAAATTTGTAACTGAGACAACTGAATCATTCCAGACTTTGACCACTCTATTACAGAAATGATATTTCTTACAGTCCAGTTTAGAATGATTTATACTGAATTTAAAGGGGTTGTTCGTGCATGTATTATTGCGATTAAATTATTCTGTCATTTCAGAGTGATGTTGTATTCCAGCATGAATGTAGATTGGAAAAGGTCCAGATAATTCATCCAAGTTATGCACCAACCACTTTCTTAATAACCTTCCTTAAAAAATGAAGATTGCAGACTGGATGAAAATTGTCTAATATTGTGGGGTCCAAGGATGGTTTCTAGAGAAGGGGGTGCAACACTGCCTCCTTGCTGCCAGGGCAGGCAGTACCACTTTTTTCTGTACAAAGACTTTAATTACTTCCTGGATCCAACTATGTGCCAACTCATGGGGAACCTTGAGCAACCATGAGGGTCATGGGTCTAGAACACATGTGGCCAAGCTCACAGTCCCAAGGAACCTGTCCATTTTTTTTTCAAGAGCAATGTCTCAGATTCCCCCCAGATAATAAGGCTTAGACAGATCTCCATCATCTCCAATGGATCTGCCAATCAGAGTCAAACTTTGAACAAAGTTGAATGTTTTATCTGACAGATGTGAGAAATATTCCTCACAATGATCTGGTAAGGCTCCCTGACTCTTCCTTACCTAGGAGAGACTTGGTTACCCAAAACAGAGCTGTTGATTGGCTACCTGCAAGTGCAATAAAGGCAGAAAAGTACTGAATTACATCTTGAATTTCACCTGGAAGTATGAGCCACCGTGGCACAGTGGTTAGAGTGCAGTACTGCAGGCTACTTCTGCTGACTGCTAGCTGCCTGTAATTTGGCAGTTTGAGCCTCACCAGGCTCAAGATTGACTCAACCTTCCATCCTTCCAAGGTCAGTAAAATGAGGACCCAGATTGTTGTGGGAAATATGCTGACTCTGTAAACCACTTAGAGAAGGTTGTAAAGCACCGTGAAGCAATATATTAGTGCTATTACTACACTACAAGGTAAGTCTTAATATAGGTTTTTCCTATGCTCAATCAACCTCATTCTTTGTTTTCCTCCAGAGGTGCCCTTTACAATCTTTATATCCCATAATCAGATCTTTAAGGTCTTACAAAAGGCCAGCAGGTTTGGAGCCACCCTAATCTCCAGAGGAAGGTGGTCACTATAGCCGAGAAGCTGGACTCTGCCAGCTGACATTCCCTAGCTAATGGGACTTAAAGTATACCCATCCTTTCAGACCAGATGAGATTGGTAGAAACAACTGGGAAAAAATGGTCCCTAAGTATATCTGACCCAAGTCCTGAAGGGTCTCAAAGGTAACAATCAGCCCCTTGAATTGGCAACCATTTCAGCTCCCATAGAAGTTGCCTAACATGTGCCAAACAATTGACACCATTTACTACCTGTGCAGCTGTACCAGCTGAAGTTTTCAAAGCTCTTCAATGACAATCTCCTATACAACATATTGCAATAAGCTAGATTCTCTTATGGTCTCCCAAACTCAGTGGTGCTATTCTACCAGTTCACACCAGTTCGGGTGAACCAGTAGTAAAAAATGCTACCGTTCAGGTGAACTGGTAGTAAAAAAAAAAATCAGCTACCAGTTTGGCCAAACTGGTATTTTTTTTCCTCCCGACGATCAGCTGTTCCGACGATCAGCTGTGCCAGGATCCCCCTTGCTGTCTTACTGCTTTGCCCAGGAGGCTTCCCTGAGGCTCAGGAGGCAAAAAGGGGCAGGCAGGAGGGGGTGCTGCGCAGGACCCCCGTGCTTTGTTTTTTGCCTCCTGGGCCTCAGGGAAGCCTCCTGTAAGCAAAAAATGAGCTCCCAGGAGGTTTCCTTGAGGCCCAGGAGGCAAAAAAAAGTAATGGGGGGGGGGGGGTGCTGCAAAAAAAAAATTCATTCCCATCCAGTCTCATGGCCACGCTCACCTAGCCATTCCCACCTAGTTATGCCCACTGAACTGGTAGTAAAAATATTTGCATCCCACTCTGCCCAAACTGATCCTTTAAACCAGTGGTCCCCAACCTTTTTTGTACCACGGACCGGTACAATCCACAGACCGATCCACGGACCGGTACCGGCATCAGCACGCATGACCAAGGTAAGACGAGCCGAGCGACCGGCCAGCCAGCCATCCCCCGCTTCTCCCCGCCACCTTCAACTCCTCCTTTGTACCTTCTCGCAGTCGATGGGCTTTTCGGGCTCTTTCTTAATCTCCTCCTGAGTAACGCGAGACTCCACCGCCATCGGGACGGCTCTTCGTTTGAAGCCGCCCCCCCCGCTTCGACAAAACCAAGGCGCAAGGATTCCTTCAGCACCCAAACGCCGCTTTCCAACCAACGACTGACAAGCTCACCCGGAAGCACTTTCTCAAGCGCCGTCGAAACAAGATGGCGGCACCCAAGCAAAATAGGCGACCCGGTAGAAAATGATCCATGGACCGGTACCGGTCCGGGGCCTGGTGGTTGGGGACCACTGCTTTAAACAATGCATGTTGCGGCTGTTTCTGTTTCCAAACAGGAAAACTATGGGCTATACCTGAATCAATAACTATTTAGAAAAATCTGTGAGAGGTAGCCCAAATGTGATCTGCGAACTTACACAAATATGCACACTCACACCCTATCAGAAATATTTTAGCCTATTCTTGATAATTAAAATTTATTCCTTCTGTTTCTTACATAAGTAGAAACCAATGAAATACAAGAGATAAGTTACTTTAGCCCAAACAGCTCCAAACATCCATTTTGTCTGGTTTTTGTATCTGCAAATGTATATAACCTCACAATTCTTCTGATGTCTCTTTCTGAAACACTAGAGCAAAATTCCACTTTGTGGCAGGAAATATTCAAATGGCCTCACAGTTATTGCATGCACTTTTGGTATAGTGGTTAAGGCACCCGAGTAAAAACCAGGAAACTGTAGTTAGCCCAACTCACCTCACAAAGTTGTTGTTGTTTGGGTAAATAGGAGGAGGAAGTATTATGCATACTCACTATCTTGAGTTACTTATAAAATAATAAAGGCTGGGTATAAACAACATCTAAAAGAAATACTAGGAGAAGTCATTGTACATATAATACTCATATAATACTGGGTTTACTCAGCTATCAGCCAGTTCAACATTTTGTAGGCCTTATCTGAAAAAGACAGAGGAGATGGTTCTTTTCAAGCTTTCTAAAAAGAAGAACAAAACCTTAGCAGAGGATTTGGGCCAAAATCAGTAATCAGTCTAGACTCAATAATACAGTAGCTCATGACAACAACACTACTGATGAGTCAAAACCAGAAAGCAGAAAGGCAGTAAAATGCTTGATTATAAAGGTGAGTGCCTCAGAAACAGAAGCATATTCAAGAGTAATTCAGTACATCTGGGTAAACTTTTAGACAGGTTAGACTTGATGAATACCAGCTGAGTAAGGGCAAATTGCTAGACCTGTAATCTAAAGTTTTCTGTTGAAGATCAGCTCATTGTTGAATACGACAACATCTATTGGTCAAGCTTACACAACTCAGCACCCTTGAACCTTGATTTTAAGACACACCTCCTTAGCATATTGACCCTTTTTCTGTTAAGCCTCTATTTGTTGTTCTCTTGCTATCATCTGATAGAGCCTCAATTAGGATTTGGGTTAATTTGACATCTGATGTGACATCTCTGTCTCTCAGACTACAGACAGTCTTTGACATATGACCATATTGAACCTTGCCCATTAGGATTGTAGGTTATTATGGTCATAAATAAATCAGTTATGGTCATGTTAAAAAAATGCTGCAATCATAAAGTAAACCCATTTTTTCTTTTTCTTTTTTGCTATGGTGTGGTTTTGCCAAAACCATGGAAGTAACATCAGGATTTTGAAAAAGCTGCCATGAAAATTGTAAAACATGGTCATATGACATAAATACAGCTGTGTTGCCAAGCACCCAAAATTCAATCATGTGATCTTGGAAGACATCAACAAAGTCATAAACTCCTTGATTCTCCAAATAGTTTGTAAGTTGAGAACTATCTAAGTTTTAGCCTCTTGTCTTTTGCCACACGGACCAGGGCATAGTATATTGCTGATTACCCAACTGTTGCTGATCTCAAGACAGTGTTCAGATCATCTATAAATTTAGAAGGTCTTAAAGAATGCTCTGAGCTTGTCTGAAGGGCAAAGGTGGAATAAATAGGCTTTGAACAGCATTCACTCCTCAGAATACTCTGATTTTGATCAAGGCAGGGTGACAGCTATTAAAGTTCTGAATCTACATTTCTATCTCGGACCTTGAACTGGCTGTTTCTATTGAAACTGCTATGCTATGTCCTTGAGACTCAGAGGTAAAAGTCCACAGCCAATGTATAAACATGTCAAAAAGAAGCTACATTAAACCTATTTTATTACATTGGCACTCAAAGCAGTAACTTGGGAAGTGGTGCTAAGGGTGAATGTAGTTTCAGGGTAGACAAATGTACATAAATATACAGCTTTCTTTTCTTTTTCTTTTTCTTTTCCATGGCCATTTGCCATTGACTTCATGTCATCTTGACTCTGGCTGGCCTCCTCTTGGTGCAGTGTCTCCAAAATTGGTTGACATCATTCTTTCTAAGACAGCTTTTATTACTACTGTCTGGGCTAGAAGGGGGTGAGCAGCATGGTGTAATTTCAGCTTAGATATAAAATGTGTGTGTGTGTGTGTTAAAACAACAACAAAAGAACTACTAGCTACAGAAGCAAGAAGAATGAAAGTTATCAACACTAAGTTGTTGCTCTGAAAAGACAAAGGATTTATCATTAAGGTTTGCAATAGTTATTCATTGGGATAGATTACCACATTGGAATGAATTTCCACCTCTTCCTTTACAATATTTCTAAGCTGGAAAGATTTTAAAATCTTGCATCACATCCCATTTTGTATTTTGAGCCTTCTTGCTGAACCTGTTGCAGAGTTTTAACCACTGGTGTATGAACAAGTAAAAATTCAGCATGGAATGTGATAAAATCAACAAAGATCTGTCTGTTTGTCTGTCTTCCTCCTTCCTTATTGGACTTATTTCTAAAATTGTCTGTGCCAACTTCATGACCTCAAGTTAGGTTGACTGGCTACCATTATACCTTATCCTCATCCAGTTTGTTCCATTGGATTGGACTGGCTTAGGACAATAACCCCTCCTTTAAATTGTAAGCAAGAGAATTGGTAGTCTTGACACTCTGAGAAAGTTCCTCCAAAAACACATACCTGATTGACATATATACTGTAGTTAAGTAAGAATATCTAACATTTCCCAGAATTTTGGGTTCTCCATCCTGGAGATTTTCTAGAATAGACTGGACAATCATTTGTCTTGATGATATAAAGATCCCTGTCTTGAGCAATGGTTTAGACTAGAAGATCCCTCAAGGTCTTTTCCAGTCTTATGATTCTGTGATTCTATGAATTTAATATGGAAAATAAAATTTGCTCTGTGTGTATATATATATAAAATGCTAGAATACCACCAAATGATCTTAAATGATCTGCCCTCTGATATAATTGTAATTATCATCTGCATATTATATACAATGAATCAAGGACAAAAATGATGTTATCTTCCTAGTTTGACCTCTTTCAGATCTGCTATTATTGCAACTCACAGAATTCCCTACAAAGTATACTGCAAGAAATTCTGGGAGTTATTCTTCCAACCTACATATAGAAAGTGGAATGAAGAGTAACTTAATGCATAGCCAAAAAAATAGATCTAATTCAGAGACTTCCTAGGCCTCCATTCCCACCCAAATAGTACACAATAAATCCTAACCTCAGATGTTTCTGAAATATTGAGTCAGAAGTTGGTTTCTAAGTCCTTCAAAAACACCCTGACAGCAGATGTTCTACATTTGACCTTTAAGAACTTTTTAAAAAGGGCTTCACAATGTGTTGGTAAGCTTTGTAATTAGCCCTTCATCAACCAAAGTCAGCGTTTTTCCTTAAAAGTACTTCTGTTGCAGCACATGTGTTGTTGTTTTTTGTATGTTCATGTTTGTTAGTTGGATCTTTAGTGGGGCCAACCAACCCTCTCTTACCAAGGCAATAACCATGTGTTCAGAGGAAACAATAACAAAGCATCCTTAGTTGTGGCTTTGATTGCTGTTTGGTTGTTTCCTTCTAGATGAAAACTATATATTGGAGGATAGGAACCTTTTAGGAGATATCCTAAATACTGTGGGATTCAAAGCAGGGGGGCAGGGGGCATTTTGCTTTACCACAAAGCATATCCACAACAAATACAAAAAAGAGGTGGAACTCTTTTTTGTATTTGTAAAAGTCACAATTACTTTTTTGCCTTTTTTTTTTGACCCACACTTAAGCATCATGAATGCCCTTGATATAATCCCAGACCAACTTCTGTCAGTGGAGGCTTCTTGAAAGTTAAACAGCAGTTTGCATTTCACAAAATTGCTAATCTGGCAATTCTCATAAATAGTTGATGCTGTTTAAAAAGTGATCTGTCTACACCAGAGATTCCCTAATGCTTCAGCTCATTGTTCCTTCATTAAGTTTCAGATTATTCATTGACCCTCCCAAACATTTATTATAGAAAAATAACAAATATTTTAACTAATAGTATTACAAGTAATTACTATAATAACAATACACACAACTCAAAGTTGGTCTCGCTGACATCTATTGTCCTGGTTAACAGTATCTCACCATTAGCTATTTCACTCATAAAACTAGGGACTGTGTGGAACTACAGAGACCTGAAAAGGTAAATTGACCCCAATTGACCATAGGTCATTTCTCAATCACCTATTGACCTTCAGACATATACTAACATCCCTTTTGATCCCCAGCCATTTATTGAACCCTTGGATACTCCCATTGAACCTGAGGAGAGAGGTTGATATTGATTACTTTGGGGGATCCCAGTCTACACCAAAGGTGTTCAAGTCAGCTGCCTTTAAGGAATGATTTTACCGACAAGAACCATTATATCTAATGTTGCTAGTTCAATATTTTTGTTTGATTGGAAAATTGCAATGCAGAACTAATTTCTGCAAGACCAAGGGTCCTTTTTGGTTCTTTAAAGCCTCCCCTAACCACAACCAAATTAAGCTGAGGATTTTGACCCCATCCAAGATGTGACCACAAGCTATAAAAGGTTGCCTTCCTTTCTTTGTGTGAATTCTATGAATACATTTGCAGAACAGAGTGTAGTACTGCTACCACCCCTGGAATGCTTTAAATGAATGGAGAAAACCTAAAGAAGGTGGATATTTTTTGGTATCTGGGATCCCATCTCCAAGGGAATGGTGATATCAATGGCGAGATGTGAGCAAGGGGGAATGCAATATGGATGCATTGGTGAGAACTCACTGCTATGTTATGTAACAGATGAATGCCAGCCCATCTTAAATCTAAGATTTACAAGACAACCATCTGTCCTGTTGCACTGTATGGCACTGAATGCTGGGCAGCAACAACGGGTACCAAAAGCTATCTCCATGCCATGCAAATGTTCCATTGGATTCGGGCACCACCTTTCCTGACCACAACATAAATGACACCATTTGACAACATTTTGGTGTGGCACCAATTACAGAGAAGATGAGAGAAGGCTGGCTCCACTAGTATGGACATCAAACTATATGTACCAATCACAACTCCAGAAACCAGAAAAAAAAATTATCCATAACAATAAGGAAGCTTCAATCCAAAAAGAGATCACTTTGGCGGAAAAACAAATCTGGTCACGTTGCCAACTTCAAAAGCCGATACAAAAATTTATGCCACCAGATAAAGACTGAATGCACCAATTATCACATTAAATAAGAGGAAAACCTTCTACGCACCAATTCCACCCATGCTTTCTACAATTTTGTAAACAACAAACTAAAAGACTCAAGGTCCATCCCACCCCTGAAAGAACCTAATGGTAAAGACTGCAATGGTGACACTATTAAAGCCAACCTCTTTAACACATTCTTTGGCTCAGTATTTGTAAACAGCAATGGATCATGCCCAGTATTTCCTAGTCGAACCACAGACAACTACAATGATCTAATACATATCGGTTTTACAGAAGACAATGTTGAAAAAGCACTACGCAATCTAAAACCATCTCTATCTATTGGACCAGACGGAATATGTGCCTACTTCTTTAAAAAGCTATCCACTTCCATAGCTGAACCTCTAAGCATAATCTTTGAAAAATCTTTCAAGACCAGCTCCTTGCCAAAATTATGGTCACAAGCCACGGTCATCCCCATCTTCAAAAAGGGAGACCCCAGCCTAGTTTAAAATTACAGACCAATCTCTTTATGCTGTGTCACCTGTAAAGTCATGGAATCAATTATTAACCAATCCATTATCCTCCACTTAGAGACAAACAACCTACTCTCTAATAAACAATTTGGTTTCAGAAAAAAACTATCCTGTAATCTGCAACTCTTATACTGCAAAAACATATGGACTACACAACTCAATTAGGGCAAAGCAATAGACACAATCTACATAGACTTCTGTAAAGCCTTTGATTCAGTGGTGCATGACAAACTCCTCCTAAAACTAAAATCTTATGGTATCTCTGGACAACTGCATAACTGGATAGAAGCATTCTTGTCAAACAGACAATAAATGGTCAAAATTGGGAGTGTCCTATCAAATTCTGTACCTGTCAACAGTGGTGTCTTCCAAGGCAATGTTCTAGGACCAACTCTCTTCATACTCTACATAAACGACCTCTGTGATCATATTAAGAGCAACTGTGTTCTCTTCGCTGACGATGTAAAGCTATTCAACACCACAGACAATACTGCTACCCTTCAAAAAGACCTCAACTATGTATCAGAATGGTCAAACAAATGGCAACTTCAAATTTCAACAAATAAATGTTCTGTCTTACATATTGGCAAAAAAATCAGAAAATAAAATACAGGCTGAATAGCCTAGACCTTGTTGATGATCCAAACTCTGTCAAGGACCTTGGAGTACTCATCTCTAATAATCGAAGTGCTAGAGCCCACTGTAACTACATAACAAAAAAGGCATTAAGAGTTGTTAACCTAATCTTATGTAGCTTTTTCTCTGGTAATATTACACTATTAACTATTAAAACATTTGCTAGACCAATACTCGAATACAGCTCATCAATCTGGAACCCACATTACGTATCTGATATTAACACAGTTGAGAAAGTCCAGAAATATTTCACAAGAAGAGTTCTCCACTCCTCTACTCATTGCAGAATACCTTATGCCGCCAGACTTGAAATTCTAGACCTAAAAAACCTAGAACTACGCCGCCTTTGGTCCTATCTAAGTATAGTATATAAAATCATACATTGCAATGTCCTACCCATCAGTGAATACTTCAGCTTCAACCATAACAATAAAAGAGCAAACAATAGATGCAAACTCAAGATTAATAGCACCAAACCTGATTGCAGGAAATATGACTTCAGCAACAGAGTGGTCAATGTCTGGAATACTCTACCTGACTCTGGTTTTTTCCCCAAACCCCAAAAACTTTAACCTTAGACTTTCTACTATTGATCTCACCCCTTTCCTAAGAGATCTGTAGGGGGCGTGCATAAGCGCACCAACGTGCCTACCATCCCTGTCCTATTGTTTCTTTTATTTTTCTTATATGTATCCATGTATTCATAACTATGTTTTTACTTATACCTATTATCTTGTAAGCAATTGACAAACCAAATAAAATAAATAAATCTTCACAGAGCAGCACCTTCCACCATTGCCAAGACAGCCCACCAACTAGAAGTCAATGGCCGGCAACCTTTCAGGTTTCTAAAACAGAGATGGTGAGACACCATCAACAAAGACATGCAAACCATGGACCTGCACCCTGAAGATGCAGATGACTATGCAAAGTGGTGTTCAATAACCCAAAAAGTGGACATTGCATCTGCGGGAATATGCTAAGAAGAATAAGATTTACAGTATCGAGATCCCAATGAAATTTCATCATGCTTGATCAATATTTTGCAAGGTACCAGACCTTTAAAAAGTTAAAGCTTTCTCCTGTTCAGTCATGTCCAACTCTAGAGGGTGCTGCTCATTTCTGTTTCTTAGTCAAGGGAGTTGTTGCCTGAAGGTGCTTCCGTGCTCATGTAACCAGTATGGCTATATATCAAGGTGCACAGAATTCTGTTACCTTCCCACTAAAGTGGTACCTATTAATCTACTTGCATTTGCATGCTTTCAGACTGCTAGGTTGACAGGAGCTGAGGTGAAGACAGGAGTTCACACCTTCAACATAGTGCCTAGGTCTTGAATTGCCAATCTTCTGGTCAACCAGGAAGGCCTATTCCATTATCTCAGGGGTCCCCAACCACCGGGCCCCGGACCGGTACCGGTCCGTGGATCATTTTCTACCGGGCCGCCGATTTGCTGGGTGCCGCCATCTTGTTTCGATGAGAAAGTGCTTCTGGGTGAACTTTTCCGGTTGGAAAGCAGCGTTTGGGTCCTGAAGGAATCCTCGCGCCTTAGTTTCATCGAAGAGGGGGGCGGCTTCGAACGAAGAGCTGTCCCGATTGCGGAGGAGATTAAGAAAGCACAAAAAAGGTACAAAGGAGGAGTTGAAGGTGGCGGGGAGAAGCGGGGGACGGCTGGCTGGCCGGTCGCTTGGCTCGCCTTGCCTTGTTATGCATGCTGATGCTGGTACCGGGCCGCGGATCATTTTGTGATGCCAGTACCGGGCCATGGCACAAAAAAGGTTGGGGGCCACTGCATTATCTTAACCACTAAGTCACTATTCACAAAAAGCAAAGTAAATTAGATCTTGATAGCTGGGGGAAAACCTGGAAAAGGAGTGGTGTAACTTAGTGTCCTGAAGAAAAATAAATCATTTCCATATTGTCACCAAA